CCCCAAAACCCCAAAACCCCAAAACCCCGATTGTATTAAATAGGCTGAATTTAGAGTAAAGTTTAAACTAAATAACTTAAGATTATTCGTTTCATAATTATAGTCTCATTCCTATTCACCAAATTCAAAGAGATTTTTGATTAGAGCATAGGTGACGCAACCACTTGTAGCGATGTCTGCTTTCTTAACAACAGTGATGGGTATTCTTTACAGAATCGAGGACATGCCCTCTCTGTTCTAGAAGTTATGAATAAATCTCTTGCTAATTTCTGGTCTCTCAAACAAGAATTCCATTGCTACAATGACTGATGATGTCAAGAAAATTCCTCCAAGAGGCATGAATGAAACAGCTACATCTGCTAAATATCGACCTAAGTACTCAATGAAATAAGTCAAAGTGTCAAGGCAAAGTTGATCATTTTCATGTTGGGCATATCTACAAATGTCTTCTGGTTTTATCTCTGCAAAATTACCTTCCTTATCATTCATTAACTTAGATTCCTAAGGATATTTCTTTGCTAAGAACTCAAAAATATTTTAGATACCTCTACCAGACATGACTTTTTGTACCACATCACTATTAGAGTTTTTTTCATTTCTTTAAAAGTCCTCAAACTCTCTATCTTATTAAGTATAGAGCTACAACTTAAGCATTCCTACTTCAGAGGCATAAACATGGAATGTTCCATCTTCTTCCGGCCTCATTAACTGGCATGCTCCTAAACCGGTGCCAATACCAATGACTAATCTAACTAAATCCTCAAGCACTCCTTCTTCAGGCTTGTACATTGGATAAAGCTCAGACTCTTTGAGATTTATCATTCCATAACCGATCGCCCCAAGATCATTCAAAATCTTTACTTTCTTTATTCCAGTATCTCTCTACAAATTCTCCTCAGTAATAGGACACCAGTGATTGATGTTATATTGATAGGTTATAGCACCCTTCATAACAGGCCCAGCTATCCCTAGAACAGCGCATTGGATATCTGCTGGATGAATCTTAGATATCTCTAAAAGCTTATTTAGAGCTGACGATAAATTCAATTCCTCTTGAGTGTTGAACTTTAGGACTTGAACCTATTCAGGATTCTCAGGGTCCTCCAACTTCATTTTTAGTAGCTAGAGTCTGCAGTTGGTGCCTCCAATATCTCCCACTACTAAATACGGCTGATAAGTCTTGGCTTATTAGCCCTCTTCACTCATATATTATTACATTATATTTAGTATTCTAATTTAAGCATTTAAGACATTTTGGAATTTCATTTAAATTCTAACTTATAGATATAGGGGTTTTGGGGTTTTGGGG